TCGAAGGGTCGCCTGAGGACCACCACAGTGGGACCACTCCACAGTAAGGGCTTTCCACTTCACCATTCTCTGGCTTCTTTGGAGCCTCCTTGCCCGTCTTAGGGCGTTCCTGGCTCGTCTGACGCCGTCGGAAGCTGTCTTGAGGACCTCTCTGGGCCGACTTGGAGCCCTCTTGGGGCGCTTCAGGGCCGTTTTTGGAAGCCATATTGGGCGTTTGGGATGCCTCTTGGGGCCCTCTTGGAACCGTCTTGGGGGCCTCTTGGGCCGATCCGGGGCCATCTTGGAGGCCTCTTGGGCGATGTTCGGGCGATCTTTGGGGGCTCTTGGGCCGTCTCGGGCTCTTGAACCTTATCGACGAGTTTGGTCTCGTCGGGCCTTCCTGGAAGACATCTTGGAGGCCTCTTCGACCATTTTCGGGGTATCTTGGGGTGTTTCCCTGGACCGTCGTGGGCTCTCTTGGGCCAACTTGGCGATCCTGGGGGCATCTAGGGACCGTCTTGGAGGCCATCTTGGGGCTATCCTGGGCTCTGTTGGGGCCGTCTTGGCCGTCTTGGACACATCTTCGCCGTCATGGAGGCCAGACTGAGGCAATATTGACAGAACAAGCCGACGGGAGGGGCACCCCGGTGCAATGGGCCGAAAGGGGGAGTTCTTCTGGGAAAGAACAAAAACAAAGCCGTAAGAAATTCAGCACGCCAGGCACCCCTGTGGCAAGCCAACAGGTGGCGGCGGATCCAGTCCATCCCGCCACCTTGCCTGGGTTGTGGGTCAGAGGCCTCCTGGATGCCTTTGATGATCTCTTGGGATGCTTGCCTCGTGGCGGCGGTTGTTGGGGCGTCTTGGGCCCTCTTTATGGGGCCTGGTTTGGGCCTCTTGTGGCGTCTTGGGTACCTCTTTGGGCCCCTTGGGCGCGCCTCGGGGGCTTCTGGGGGGATCTTGGGGCTGTCTTGGGGCGGATGGTAATGTCAGTTCGTGCTCCCCATTTTGGGCTCTTTTTGGAGTCCTCTTGTACCGCTCTTGGGGGCTCTAGGGTTGTTGTGGGGCGATATTTGGCGCCTCTTGAGCCATCTTGGACGCTCTGAATACCGAAAAGGCGTAGTGCGAGAACCATACAACAACCAGTGGCTTCTGTTGCTTTTGGCTTCCAAGGCTGCCCTCAGGGCCTCCAAGACGGCCCAAGAGGCGCCAAGAGGGCTCCAGGATGGCCCCCAGGGCCATTCGAAGCTATGCTGGACGTGTCTGCCCCGAAGAGCGTGCTCCTGGCCCCTCGGCTAGTCACGCGGGGGAGCCCCCGAGAGCGCCGAAGAGCGCCCGGGGGCGCCCAGGAGCGTCCGGAGCTCTGGGCTGTGGGCCCCTCGAAGGATATTGTAGTGGCCTCTGGCCAGTGCCGCCGATCCGGGGTGCTACCGATTCTGCTTGCGACGGACGACCTTTTATGTTTAAAGTAGAGCGCTCGCTCGAGACATCCTCATAATATAAAGATGTTGAACTCGCTTTGGAACCTTTGGGGACGCTCCTGGGCTTCTCGAGGGGCTTTTTGGAGGCATCCTGGAGGCTTCTTGGGGGCGCGCTGGAGGAAGTATTTGAATCTCTTGGGGGCCTTATGGGGGCCTCCTTGGGGCTTCTCGGGCCGTCTTGGGCCCTTCTTGGCCCGTCTTGGAGCCCTCTTCGGGTGTGAATGGCGTCAGCCATGGCGTCGGCCCTCCCCCCTCTTCCGAGCCTGAATGGCGTCAGCCATGGCGTCAGCCCCCCCCCCCCACCCACAGAATGAAGCTTGAGCGAGCTCCCCCCCCCCTCTCCCTCCTCCCGGGTCTGAATGGCGTCAGCCATGGCGTCAGCCCTCCCCCCCTCCTCCCCCCCGACTCCCCCCCCCCTCCCGTGCCTGAATGGCGTCAGCCATGGCGTCACCCCCTCCTCCCCCCTCCCGCCTCCTGGGCCTGAATGGCGCCAGCTATGACGTCAGCCCCCTCCCCTCCGACAGAGCGAAGCTTGAGCGAGCCCCCTCCCCCCGACTCCCTCTCGGGTCTGAATGGCGTCAGCCATGGCGTCCCCCTCCCCCCCCCGACTCCTTCCTCCCGGGCTTGAATGGCGTCAGCCATGGCGTCCCCCCCTCCTTCCTGGGCCTGAATGGCGTCAGCTATGGCGTCAGCCCCCCCCCCCCCCCAACAGAGCGAAGCTTGAGCGAGCTCCCCGCCCCCCTCCCCCTTCCCCGGCCTGAATGGTGTCAGGAATGGCGTCAGCCTCCCCCCCCCCCTCCCTCCCGGCTTGAATGGCGTCAGCCATGGCGTCCCCCCCCCCCCCCCTCCTCTCCCTCTGGGGCCTGAATGGTGTCACCCAGGCCTGAATGGCGTCAGCCATGGCGTCAGCACCCCCCCCCGATTCCCTCCTCCCGGGCCTGAATGACGTCAGCCATGGCGTCCCCCCCTTCCTTTCTCCTGGGCCTGAATGGCGTCAGCCATGGCGTCAGCCCCCCCCCCCCGACAGCGGCGCACACAGGCCGTCTTGTGGCCCGCTTGGGGGCCTCTTGAACTGACCTCGGGTGGTCTTGGGGGCCTCTTGGGCTGTCTTGGAGCGTCGGGAAGCCGAACTGGCGAGAACGCCAAAATCCTTCCAACACCTCAGGACAATCAGTGAATTTTACCTCTGGGGGTCCTCTTGAGAGGCCTCTTGGAGGCCTCTTGTGGCGTCTTGGAGGCTTCTCGGGCCATCTTGAGGACATCTTGGGCGTCTTGGAGCGATCTTGGGGCGACTTGGCCCTCTTTGACCATTTTGGGGCCTCTTGGAGCCATCTGGGCTCGTTTTAAGGCACTCCTGGGCGGGGTAGGCCGACTCGAGCGGATTCCAGCGGACCCAGGGCCGGCCCTGGCCCTTATGACTTACAATTCTGTCTGCAGCAGCAGGACAGCCCTCTCAGTGCTGCGTGAGCCTCGGGGCACTTCACTTCGTGCCAGAGGCCCACTGTATACACTATGTTTAGATCAAGTTATTTTTGGTTGAGATGCTCATGGGGACCTTGAGGCCTCCCCTGCTGGGATATCCTGGGCCTGTCCTGAGGCCCTCTTGGGCCATCTCGATGGCATCCTGAGTGCTCAGGAGCCACCCCGTCTCAAAAATAAGAATAACCATATTGAGAAAGCTATACAGACAGCATTTGCTCAAGAGTGTAGCCTATTTGGAGCATCCTTGGATGGCTCCGTCGCTAGCTCGATCCATCTTGGGGCAGTTTTGCGGCCTCTTGGTGGCATGTTGGGGAGCTTCTTGTGCCAACTTGGTGCATCTAGCGTCATCTTGGAGGCCACATGAGGGGCTGGCTACCTTGGTCCAGCGACCCCCCAGTGCAGAACACCAGGAAGGGACTTCTCCTAGCAGAATCGGTCAACACCTCCAACTCTTCCACCGCGTGTGTTGCTCCCGTGTCGGCCTCGGCAGTGCAAGACAATGCGAGGCGGTCTCCAATATAGCCACCAAGATGGCACGCAATGGTCCAAGACGGCCCAAGATTGCCTCCGCTAGGCCTCATCGCCACAACACACCACGGGCCGAGGTGGCCACGCAGCATCTGCAGGATAGCTCCGAGAGCCCCGAAACCTTCCAACGCAGATTGCCGCAAGGTGGCTTTGGCACTCTCGCTTTCTGGCTTCCGATCGGCTCTTCAGGCCTCACTGTGGCCTGAATGTCGCCCCAGGACCATGATCACCCCCAAGGAAGCCCACGAGAGCCCCAAGAGGGCGCCTGGAGAGCTCGACGCTGCGCAAAGGCCATTCATACCAACCGTAGCGTGGATGAGAGCTAGACGGCCCCCCAAAGCCCCCAACGGCCCCAGGAGGCCTCGAAAGATCTAGAACAGGCCCCCAAAGAACTCCCGCGAGGCCCCTCAAAAGACCACAAGAAGACACTTTACTTGATCGCCACGCTGGTCGCACTTCGATCCGATCGATCCGACTCGATAAGGATTTCGGCTAGCCCGATCCGACTCGATTCCGATATCTCAGGCCCACTTGCGCTCCGATTCTTGCATTGGCTCTGTCGTGCATTTTGGCGCGGCCGGTCCAACTTGATTCCGATACTTTACCGATGCGGCCCGACCCGACACACATTTCGATTCGATCAGATTTCTGATTCGAGCCGTCCACCTTGGGGGGCCTCATGGCGAGGGGGATGTGCATGTACAAGCTCCTCAGACACGCCCTTCCACGGAATGGGCGACGCTGCTGTGTTCGGCGCGTTTCACTTTGTTCGGCTGCAGTCGCGTCGGCGCCGCTTTTCCTGCCCATGCGTCACTGACGTGCACGGTGTCTTCTCTCTCTGTCTCTACGATTCGAGTCTGACTGCGAGGCTCCGCCCGAAAAGGATCTCCATGTGCGCTCCGTCCCTCTCTCCGCGGCTGGCTGTGGGCCGGCGCGCTGGACTGCCAGGCGCGCGTCCAATCCACAGGCGAGGGGGGAGTGCTGCGACGTGGGGTTGGGTGCGGGCGGACCCCCTCCCCGAAGGGTCAGGGGTAACGATAGGGGGGGATAGGCATAGGGGGGGATGCATCGACCCCCAGTCGCCCATCCATCGCCGACAGGGGCCCGATGGCCCATCCCCGCCCAGGAACGTGCGGGTTCACTATCGGGGGCCTATCGCCGATCTATCGTCCATCTCTCGCCGGTTCCAGGTTGGTGTTTCCCCCCCTATGCCCGCTCCCCCTGTCGTTGCCCCTAAGAGGGATTTTGAAAGAGCCCGTGTTCCAAACCACCCAGTTTGTCTCGCGCTTCACTTTCCTGCAGCGCCCGTCTCTGCTGCTTGGAGGTCTCAGTCGAACCGTGCCAAGGCTACAAACTCTGCAAGTGCTGCAACACAAGGCGGTATACTTGCTTATCGTGCATCACGCCTTTGCGACTATCTTCCGCTGCTTTCCGTCAGCAGCGCGTCGAAGGAAAAAGCGTGTGCGCGCTCACTCGCGGTCCCTGCCCTGAGCGCCACTCTGCCGCCCCACCATCCCTGCCGCGACCGGCCAGGTACCTCCCTCTCCCGGAGGTGCTCGCGATGCGAACCTGCTCGCCGCTCGGTCTCTCGCTCGCGCGCCGCAGACGTTCCCGGACACGCTTCGCGCGCCACCATCCTGGGATCCTCGTGTTTCAGCCCGTTTCAAGGGTGTTTCTTCCATTTGGGCAGCATGATGATGAGGCCTGTGACGATGATGGTGATGATGATGATGATGATGATGATGATGATGATGATGATGATGATGATGATGATGCTGATGACGCTGATGCTGCTGCTGATGGCTGTGGTGACGATGATGATGGTGATGAGGCCTGTGACGATGACTGTGATGATGATGATGATGATGATGATGATTCTGATGATGATGCTGCTGATGATGATGATGATGATGATGATGATGTGACGTTGATACTGATGATGCTGATGATGATGATGATGATGATGATGATGATGATGATGATGATGATGATGATGATGCTGATGACGCTGATGCTGCTGCTGATGGCTGTGGTGACGATGATGATGGTGATGAGGCCTGTGACGATGACTGTGATGATGATGATGATGATGATGATGATTCTGATGATGATGCTGCTGATGATGATGATGATGATGATTATGCTGGTGCTGATGATGATGCTGATGGTGATCATGATGATGAAGATGACGATGACGATGCTGATGATGATGCTGCTGCTGATGATGATGATGATGTCTGCGAGGGTGGCACTGGTGGTGATGATGATGGTGGTGATCATGATGATGATGAAAGCGAAGACGACGATGGTGATGATGATGTTGGTGATGATGACGATGATGATTATGATGACGATAACGATGTTGATTATGATGCTGATGATGATGGTGATTTCGATTACGAAGATGACGATGACAATGACGATGACGCTGATAATGCTGATGATAATGCTCATCATGCTGATGATGATGAGGATGACGACGATGTTGATGATGATGAGGATGCTGATTTGGTTGATGATGATGGTGATGGCGATGACGATTTTGACGACGATGATGATGCTGATGAGGATGGCGATGATGATGACGCTGATAACGACGATGATGATGCTGCTGATGATGATGACGATGCTAGTGCTGCTGCTGATGATGATGACGATGATGAATATGACGACGATGCTGATGACGATGATGATGCTGATGATGATGGTGACGTCTGTGCTGTGGTCGATGCTGATGACGATGAGGAGCCGATGATGATGATGACGTCGACGATGCTGATGCTGACGATGATGATGATGGTGATGCTGATAATGCTGATGATCAGCATCTATGATGACGATGACGATTCTGATGCTGATTATGATGATGATGATGCTGTTGCTGCTTCTGATGATGCTGCTGATGATGATGCTCCTGAGGACGATGATAATGATGCTGATGATGATGACGATGCTGATGATTCTGTTGCTGCTGGTGATGATGATGGTGATGATGATGATGCTGATGACGCTGATGCTGCTGCTGATGGCTGTGGTGACGATGATGATGGTGATGATGATGAGGCTGGTAGTGCTGATGATGGGGAGGACGAATCTTATGATGATAATGATGATGATGGTGGTGGTGGTGATAGTGCTGATCATGAGCAGGAGGGGAGACTTGAGTAAGGCGAAGATGTATCAACGATGTTGCAGTACGCCCTGCCGTTCCAGGCTCCCTCTTCGTTAGTCCCTGCCAGCTTTTTTTTCACTGCGCGAAGCGCCCATCTTGAAAGACAGGCGCCTCTTGGGACCGCACTCTAGGGGAGAGTTTCATTCTTGAGAGGGGTTGCCTCCATCCTTCGATCTATACTGGACGCGGCAAGGCTGTCTTAAAGATGACGGAAGTGCCCATCGTCAGTTGCGCTCTGAACAGGATTCACCCTCCCTCCGTGCACTTGTTGCGCATCAGTGACTTTTAGTAATAACGTGAAACGGGTGCCTGGCGCGAGCCCAATTTTAAAACGGAATCACCCTCCGAGTAAGCATCTTCTATCCGTGTGGCAGTTGCACACACTTTCTTATGTTGTGCCAGATGTAGCGGGAATCTCAGGTAATGACCCCATCCTGAACAAGGAATGCCCCTTCATCGGTGTAGGTGTTGTGTTTCATATCAGCGTGCACGGCGCCACAGCGATAGTCTCGATTTCAACATTATGTGCCATCCATCCGCGTAGGTAATGTATTTGTGTCAGACGAGTGTCCGCGGCGCCCAGGCGCAAGCTTCATTTTGAAACCAACCAGCGCCCCATCCGTGTAATCGTCGAACTTGTTTGGAGCAGTGTTCGCGGCGCCAATGCGAGAGCCCTATTCCTATCGCATCGCGTATCCCAACCAGTGGCGGTTCGTTGGCCGCGGCCACCCTGGTGCCCGTGCAGCTGCTTGAGGTTCGGTCTCATGCATTCTTGGTCGTCGTTTATATCCCGACTTCTGGCGCCTTCGACGGATTTGCATCTTTGCACGCTGGCAGTTCCACTCAGTTTTAGTTCCTCCAGCCATCCACCTGCCGCTGGGCCGCTGCGTGAGGCCTCGGCTTGCCGCGTAGCTGTTGCCTTGCGCGTCGCCTCCGCCTAATTAGTCTCTGCGTAGCCCGCTTGGACCTGACTCGCCACTGGCGCGCACGCCCGCCCAGCCCATCCAGACACGATGTCCAGCCAGCCCATCCAGACACGATGCCCAGCAGAGCTGCCCTGAACTCTTAGGGGTCTCTTGGGGCGTCTCGGGGCCTCTGGCCGACTCTTGGGGCCTCTTGGAGCGTCTTGGGTGCCTCTGGGGGGGCCTTTTGCGGTATCTTCGTGGCCGCTTGTGGGCTGCTCGGGGGCCACTTGAGGGCCTCGTGGGGGCCTGTTGGGGGGCCCTCAATCAGGGTCGCCCCCCCTTCCCCCAGGAGGCCAACATGTGTTCAACACCTGCCAAAACTTTGGGGTTCTTCTGCTTTCTCGCTGAGGCCGTCTAGGACGCTGTGGCCGCTCGCGGCTGCCCCCGTCCGGAACAATGGGGAGGGGGCAGGGAGAGGTGTCAAGCTATCTCCTCCCGAAGGGCGGCGGTCGTAGGGGCCGCCATCGGCAACCATTGGCAACCAAATGCTGACGCCAGCCAAGTCGGCGACGCCCACGAGGTGCGCCGCGCGTGAGTCCCCCCCACTACCCCTGACACATCGATGCCAAATGGTCGTGGGGCGCCTGCGCATCGTCGAATATTTTGCCGCAGCGTGCACTTGTATTTCCCAACCATCCTGTGGTGTCGGGTCCTGCAGCTGCTGCTCCTCCTCCTCGTGCTCCTCCCCCTCCTCCTCCGGTCACCCCCCTCATTTTGGCACACCGCCCACACGTTTCGTGGCCCCGTAAGGAGCTCCACCGACGGCCCACATGCCAGCGCTCGCATGCGTCCACCGCACCCATTTTGGCACACCCCTCAAACGCTTCGCGGCCCCACAGGGAGCTCCACCCAAGGCCCAGATGCCAGCGCTCGCATGCGCCCACCGCGCCCAATGTGGCACACCCCCGACACGCTTCGTGGCATCATAAGGAGCCATACCGAAGGCCCACCTGTCAGCGCTCGCATGTGCCCGCCGCACACATTGTGGCACACCACTCACACGCTTCGTGGCCCCATAGGGAGCTCCACCGAAGGCCCACATGCCAGCGCATGCATGCGTCCACCGGGCCCATGTCGGCACACCTCTCACATGTTTCAGGACCCCATAGTGAACTCAACCGAAGGCCCACATGCCAGCGCGCGCATGCGCCTACCGCGCCCATTTTGGCACACCCCTCGCATGTGTCGTGGCTCCATCTGGAGCTCCACCGAAAGCCCAAATGCTAGCGCTCGGACGCGCCCGCCGCACCAATATTGGCACACCTCTTCACACGTTTCATGGCCTCAAAGCAGGCTTCACCGAAAGCTCGTACGCGCCCACCGCGGCCATTCGTGCACAACCCTCACACGCTGTGTGCTCCTAGGAGCCCCACAGAAGGCCAGAAGGCCAGCGCCCGCATGCGCACAAACCGCACACATTGTGGCACACGCCTCATACGCTTCGGTGCCCCCCACGGAGCTCCACCGAAGGCCTACATGCCAGCGCTCGCATGCGCCCACCGCGCCCATTTTGGCACACTCCTCACACGTTTCAGGACCCCATAGGGAACCCCACCGAAGGCCCAACTGCCAGCGCTCGCATGCGTCCACCGCATCTATCTTGGCACACCCCTCACACGTTTCATGGCCCCATGGGGAGCTCCACCGAAGGCCCACATGCCAGCGCTCCACCGCGTCCATTTTGGCACACCCCTCGCACGTGTCGTGGCTTCATTGGGAGCCCCACAGAAGGCCCACATGCCAGCGCTCGCATGCACCCACCGCACCCATTTCGGCATACCCCTCACACGTTGCGTGGCCCCATAAGGAGCTCAACCGAATGTTCGCATGCGCCCACCGCGGTCATTCTTGCACAACCCTCACACGCTGTGTGGCCCTAGGGGCCCCACATAAGGCCCACATGCCAGCGCCCGCATGCGCACACCGCGTCAATTTTGGCACGCCCCTCACACGTGTCGTGGCCCAAAAGTAAGCCCTACCGAAGGCCCACAAGCCAGCGCTAGCATGCGCTCACCACACGAATTTTGGCACACCACTCACACGCTGCGTGGCCCCAGAGGGAGCTCCACCGAAGGCCCAAGTACCAGCGCTCGCATGCGCTCACTACACGCATTCTGGCACACCCTTCACACGTTTCGTGGCCCCACAAGGAGCTCCACCGAAGGCCCACATGCCAGCGCTCCACCGCGCCCATTTTGGCACACCCCTCACACGTTTCGTGGCCCCACAAGGAGTTCCACCGACGGCGTACATGGCAGCGCTCGACCACACCCATTTTGGCACACCCCTCACACGCTTCGTGGTCCCATAGGGAGCTCCACCGAAGGCCCACATGCCAGCGCTCGCGTGCGCCCACTGCGCCCATTTTGGCACACCCCTCACACGATTCATGGCCCCATAGGGATTCCACCGAAGGCCCATGGCCCAACTGCCA